GTCCAGCATGGGTCAGTGGTGGGTAGGGCTGTGTCCCTCCACCTGGTGAGAGCTGTGGCTCCTGCCCTGGGCTCAGCACCTCCATCCCCTCTGCTCTGCCCCGTGGTTACCTCCCTGGGGGAGTCCCCGTCGGGCTCTGCGGGCTGAGGGTGGGCTGAGGCTCCCTGCCTGGCTCCTGGGGGGGCCCAGGACACAGGGCTGTGCTCCAGGAGCTTTGCTGGTGCTTCGCTCCGTGGGGAACACGCGGCGTTGCTGCCAGTTGGGGTCTGCATCCCTCCCCGGGGCTCATCTTCCTGCGAGGAGAGCAGAGAGCTGCTGGGGAGGGCATGGGCAGGGCAGAGCCGGTGGGTGCTGCTCATGGGGCTGTTCCTCACTCCCCACGGCCAAGGTGGCTCTGGTTCCAATCCCGTTCCTTTGGCTAGGGAATGTCGCCCCATCCATGCAGCTGGAATGACTCCCCGGGGTCAGAAGGGGTTGTGCCCTCACCCTGGTGCATGGCACGGTCAGGAACTCGTGGTAGGGTGTGACAGGGGCCGTGGTGTAGTGCTGCAGCAGCTCGGCCAGCTTGGCGTGGGCACTCTGCTCCCCCAGGATCACGTATCGCCCGTCGGGCAGCTGGTCCAGGACGAAGTGCCGGCAGCGATCCCTGCCCCTGCGGGAGAGGGATGGGATTGGCACAGGGCAGGAGGGCACAGAGTGCCTCGGCCCCTTGGATGGGGCTGGAGTCTCACCTGTAGGAGAGGACGAAGCCCACGGTGCTCTCGCTGAAGCGAACCAGAAAGCAGCCCTGGGGCTGATCCTGCAGCAGCTGCTCTGTCTCCCTGTGGGAAGGTGCCCAGAACCACTTCCAGCTCCCTGTTTTGGAGCCCGAGGCTGGGGATGCTGAAAGGGTCACCCCATTCCCTGCCTCAGCTTCCCTCCCGCTCACCTGCGGGTGATGAAGCCATGGAACCAGGTAGGGACCTTCCCCTCAGCCCTCAGACCTTGGGCTTGTGTCTGCTCAAACCACAACCTCGTCCGGGCACGGAGGGCCACCAGCTCTGGATGTGGGTCACCCTCCAGTGGGGCCCATCCTGGTGGGGATGAACAGGAGCCTGGAGGGACCTGGAGGGAAGGGGAGAGCAGCCAAAGGGGAGGCTGAGGACATGCCCTGAGGATGTCCTGCTCCCTGCACAAGGCTCCCAGTGCAGCCCAGGAGGACACAGTGTGTGAACTGGGGGCACAGACCCCTCACATCCTACCCTGCCGTGTCCGTCGTGGTGTCCCTGGGGCTGGACAGGGGTTGTGCCAGGTTCTGCCTTGGTGCTGGCTCTGTTGTCCTCCTCAGTGGGTTTGAAGGTGATGAAGAGGGGATGCTTGTCATCCATGGGGTGCCCTGTCCCAGGGAATGGGGACAAACAAGCTCAGACTCAGAGCAGTGAAGCCTCTCTCAGGGCCCTGAGCTGCCCTGTGGCTCCTTGCTGCCCATGGGGCACTGGGGGGTGTGAGAGCACCGTGACCACCCAGTCACCCTCAGTGTGCTCCCAGAATGATCCCAGTCACCTCCAGCAGGAGCCCAGTGGCTCCCAGTATATGCCAGTTACCCTCAGCATGGGCCCAGCCGCTCCCTGCATATCCCAGTTACCCCCAACCTGATCCCAATTTTCCCTAGCGCTGTCTCAATCACTGCCAGCTGGCACCAATGTGGACCCAATCACTCCCAACACGATGCCCATCACTCCCAGTCACTCCCAGCATGATAGCAGGATAATCCCAGTCCCATCCTCAACCCTTTCCCCAGCCCCACCAACACCCTGGGTCAGCACCACCTTCACCTTGTGCTCCCTTGGGCTCATCACTCTCCTCCTCCCCAGGGAGACCACCCTGAGCCCACAGGGTGGGAAGGGATCTCCCAGGAGAAAAGCCCAGGGAACAGGTGAGCTGGCTGGGGAGGAGATGAGCAGGAGGAGGAGTGTGAATCCTCCCGAAATCCTCAGGGTGTCAGTTCAGCCCTGGGAAGGGGAGGGAGAGGGTGAGCAGCTCCCAAAGGACTCCGAGCTCAACCCTGAGCCACCACCAGCAGGCAGAGCAGCGTTAATCCCCAGCAGGTGCTTGAGGGGGTGGAAGATGCTGGGGCTGGCTGGATCCGGGAGGCAAAGCTGAGTCAGAGGAGCTGGTCGAGGCTTGTCGGAGGGCAGGAGGATCCAGCCGGGGGGAAAGGCTCCACCTTTAACCGGCGGCATCGCCCGGCGCTGCGCCCCGGCGGGCGGGGGAAGGCAGGGGAAGGCAGGGAGGGTGTTGCCAAAGCGAAACAAAACCTAAACTACGGCAACGCCACTTGGGGAGTGCCAGGGAGAAGAATTCGGGGCAGGTCCTGCCTGGGCACGGCCAGGCAACGGGGCACAATGCCACTGTCCCCAGCTCGTGGTGCATCCCCCAGCTGGATGGAAATCCTGGGTGAAATTGGGGGGCTCGTCCTTACTCGCC